CCACACCACTTGCTACCGGAGATCCTGCATCCTCGTCTTCCTCAAGCGGTAGGTTTGCGATAGCTTTGGTTTCCAGTATCGCTTGAGAAAGAGCGTCGTTGAATTTGTCGACATTCTTAGGCTGCAAAACTTTCGTTGGACTCGAAGACGGCATGACGAAGCTGTCCTCGACAGTCTCATCGAACGAGATATGCGTAGCTATATCTGCTACAGGCGGCGTAGCGGGGACGCTTTCTTCGGTTGGATATGAGTCTGTCTTTTGTGACTCCTTCGCAGCAGTCTGTCGTTTTGACGGTTTGATTGCCAGTGAGCTCTGCGATGCGGCTAAGGTTTGGGATGAAACTACCAGCTCACTACGTTCCTTCCTACTGGGAGCACCTTTGATCGCGAAGCGGGGCTGATTTGGATCTCGGAGTCCTTTCCATTCTATACTTTCCGTTATATAAGGCTGGAACTTGACGACCGCAACGTTCTCGGGAATGCCAGGTATGTTCGGATCCCGCAGTAGTTGATCATACGTGCGTACGTCGTAGCCGTCGTCTATTATAACATGCGTAATATTCTCTTTCCATTCCTTGGCCCAAGCAGCACCAAATTCGATTACTTTGTGTATGCGAGAGCGCCGCGGTTGGGTAATATCGTGACTCGGATAGAAATACATGATCTTGCCCTTGAAATACTGTTGGCTCTCTGGTTTCAGTCCGATGTTAGTGGCTGGCTTAGGCCTTGTTCCTCTACATTCTCGCGGAATGTCACCCATTTGTATATAAAACGGAGTGGTATCCTTGCCCGCTGTCTCAGGTGAATATAACACTCTGTTCAGAGTACTCTTCGCGCCAACGACAGCTGATGACCTAGTTCGCGGCTTGGTGACTGGTACCATCTTTGTAAGTCCTTGTTCAGGCGCTGTAGACGAACGCGTCATTTGCTGGGTCGTTTGTCGCTCGATTGCGCGTTGTTTTCTCGAATGCGTCTCGAACTCCGCTTGCCTTTCTTTCGGTGTTGCTCCAAGGAAACTGCTTGTCTGCTTTCTAAGCGCCGGGGGCCGCATCGCTTTCGAATCTTTCAATGCGCGTTCGAGTCTACCCACGCTGGCGTCCGGGATGTCATGCTCATCGTCAAGGATATCCAAAAGTTCTTGCTCTTTGAAGTAGGCTTCCTTCATCGCCAGTGCGTTTTCGGACATCGCGTAAACTTCGAGGGGTCAATGAGCCTTTGCGACTAAAGTTATGTTCTTCCGAACTGGGCCGTTGAGTCGAGTAGCAACGTGGGCGCAGCTTCAATACTTCCAAGGTCGTCAAGGGAAAGGACTGCGAAAGCACAGTTGCCTATTGTAGCGCCATTTATATCGTCCGCCGGGACCGTTCGCCATTTCAAAGCTTAGCAGGCAATGCGCTGGTGAGAGAGTGTAGAACGTCACCGAGGCAGCAGCGCGTACAGAGTTGGCGCTGACGCGAAAGCACGTGGTACTTTGGCCGCTTCTGTGCTAGTTCCACGCTCACATCCGTCATTTCTCGAGTTTGGCGGGACAAAGACATTCCGCAAACAAAATGCTTCAGCCCCGAATAGCAACGCCATTGCGGCGCACGTTCCTTACTGCCTCTTCAATATGCCTACGGTGCCAGAGCCGAATCGCAATCCCCTCAATCGCAAGGCAATCGCTTGTTCGACCTTTTACCTCCGCGCACACTCTCTGCCAGCAGGCACCGGAACCAAAGCCCACCCAGACCTCGCCCACGCCCGATCCTAAAGATGAAGACATATTCATCCCGAAGCCGCTTGGCCGTCCCATCGGTTTCAGTCGCGCTCCACAACCAGGGGAAAACGCCAGCATTCCCAAAACCAAGAAAGACTACTCCGGTATGACCATGTCGCAACGGAACCTCGAGAAGCGCAAGGATCTGGTCGAGAAATGGGGCACAAACTACTTCCGCGACTTCAAGAATATCCGCAAGTATAGGTCGGGAAAGACTTTCATGGCGAACCAGAGGATCTTCAAGAAGGACGCGGCGTTATACTTTCCCAACTTCCACGGAGATACACTAGAGGGGAAGGACAAAGACACTACGAATGTGCTCAACGGGAAGATCAGTGTTGTGAATGTGTTTAGTTCGATGTGGGGGTTGACCCAGGTCGAGACTTTCACAGGGAAGAAAACAAACACCGCACTGCACGAGATTCTGGCGCAAAATCCCGAGGTTGCGCAGATGGTCGACGTCAACATCGAAGAGAACACGATGAAGGCTTGGATCGTGTCGCTGTTCCAGTGGCGGCTGAAGGCCTCCAAGCCAAAAGAGGACTGGGGCAGGTACTTCGTGGTCAGAAAAGGTGTTAGTGAGAAGATAAGGGAGACAATCGGACTTTTAAACGGCAGAGTCGGCTATGTCTACCTGGTAGACCAAGACTGCAAGATCCGATGGGCAGGCAGCGGAGACGCAGAAGGCACGGAAATGGAGGATATGAACAGAGGCTTTGCGAAGCTGGTCAACGAGGCCCGACAGACTCCTTCAGAAGCCACGCCTAAGGAGGCTTGATGACGAACATGTAACGATATCTTGTACAGCATACGGAAGACTCTCAATTCCCACGATACCCAACCCTTTGTAAACATAAACGTAACCGTACAGGCCCGAGACGCCTTGCGCATAGCATGCTAATGAAAGTCATGAGGATATCCAGCCCGCTTGAACGCCCAAAATGAACATGTGCAACCCCATCTACCTGAACCATAACAGCATCAAGAAGCAGAATGCGATGAAACTGCCCAGGATGATACCGTCTCTGCGCTTCTTTGTCCCAATGCGTCCGATCAAGCTGTTAATGCCAGGTACTTGACTTGCAGCGCCCACTATTCTCCGGTTGATGCTCGTCAGCGTTTCCCTTTGCAGGCTGAAGTTCTCTTGTACGGCGTATGCCTGGCTGAGGACCGAGTCGGCTACGTTGTGCGAGTTGTCGATGCGATTCCGCTCGTCGAGCATGTAGTCGGCCTCCGCTTGCTCTGGGTTTGCGGACCGGTATGCATCAATGTCCGAGCGTACATTGGAGAGGAGGTTCGCCCTGTTGCGGGCCTCGTTTAGGGTAGACTTGAGGCGCGCGAGCTCGCGACGGTGGTCTGAGAGTACTTCGCGGTGTCTGGCAAGGTTGTTCTGCTTTACGGCCGACGAGCCATGCGTCGATTCGGAATCGAGGAGCCGAGATAGCTGGCCGACAAGACCATCTCTTTGCTCGAGGATTTCCTGCAGCCTAGTTTCAACCCGTAACTCTTCTTCTGAGGGTTTCGCGGGGATGTTTGGTGTCGAGCCGAACTGCGAGTATGTGTGGAACAGCGTCTCAGTCTGGCATGCCTCGTTAGCAGGGCTGCCGCGAGCGCCGACTAAGTCCGTCGCAGCAGTGAATGGAACCCACTTGTTGTTCGAGCGTGCGCGCTTGCTGGCGCAGTTGCGCCCATCCGCCTCCAGTGGACGACATGTCGGATATCACGGTATCTTGACAGGCCGAGGCAGCAACAATGGTTCCTGGACTTCTGGCATGATGAGGGTCGCACCTGCCCTGGCGCGGGCTACGCAATGCACGGCCAAGGCGCTAGGCCGTCTTGGTGATCGGCGAATAGTTTAGCGAGGCTCCGGGCGACACACTGATTTCTGACAACACCAAAAGTTCATCGTTGCGACACGCGAGACCCCATCCATATCACCCGGTCCTACTAACTCACAGTCAAAATGGTACGTCGATGCTCTCATTTATGCGTTTGGTATTGGGACTGCGTCGCGCAGCTACGGAACCGCTGGCAGTGAGGGGTCAGGCCGTTGCACCCTCCGCTAGTGGTGCTGCGCAAGATTTGATACTTCACGATTGAGAGAACTTGTGCTGACTTGCTGCCTCCAGTCTACTTCCAAGGTCGTACGTACACCCTCGCCTGCGCAAACACCAACCTCCGATCTCGTGCTCACAACCACCGCAGAAGACCGCCCAGCTGTGGAACAAGTCCAAGGATGAGCTCGCGTCCCAGCTCACCGACCTCAAGTCGTACGTCGCCGAAACCGGAACACTGGCAGGGAAATGGAATGCTGACGGACGTGAAGGGAGTTGATCCAGCTCAGGACCGCCAAGGTCACCGGTGGCTCCAACACCAAGCTCACCCGCATTCATGATGTCCGCAAGGGAATCGCCAAGGTCCTCACCGTCATCAACGCCAATCAGAGGGCTCAGCTCAGGCTGTTCTACAAGGGCAAGAAGTGCGTCTAGGCCGACTCGGAAGCTCCAGGGACCAATTTCTAACACTGAATAGGTACACTCCTCTCGACCTCCGCCCCAAGCAGACCCGCGCCATCCGCCGAAAACTCACCAAGCACGAGGCTTCGCTCGTCACCGAGAAGCAGAAGAAGAGGAACACACACTTCCCCCAGCGAAAGTACGCCGTCAAGGCATAAGCGTGCTTTCGTGAAGGTGTTTCTCTTTTCTTCCTTTGTCTCTCATGAAGCATTGCATTGCCGGGGCTTTTCCAACTAGCGAGCCACCAGTGTACCCTTAGTACCATACTCCAGCGGGGCGAGGAAGGTGGTGTAGCAGGTGGAATGGACGGACAGGGCGATCTTTAACGGAAATGGGTTGGCGTCCATGTCAAGATCTATGAATAAAAAGTTCAGACAAGCACGGAATGATACCTCATGAATTGTGAAGGAGTTTTACATTGGTTCCACAACTCCATGAGTAACGTCCGGTGCGCATGAAGTATGAATTACGACTTAACAAGCTCTCACATGCGCCTTGCAGTCCTGTGTCTCCACAAATGAATCGCGTTTGATAGCGTGAGGGTTTTAATTTCCCAACACGTGTGGTCCTGTCCAGCCTTTGTATTTGTTAAGACTTTCAACAAAGTATTGACATAACTTTTGCGCTAATACCAAAAAGACAACGCTCTCCCGTCTGCTAAAGATATCTACCACTCCACCACCTCCACAGTCTGTATTACCACACCTTCCAATCCGTTCTCACGTCTTTCAGTAAGCCTCCTTCCACTCCGCATACAGACTGAGGTCTTCCTCCTTGACACCCACCATCTCTTCTCTAACACCGATTACACCAACCCTACCAATCGCTTCAGGGTCTTCGTATTGCGCAAGGCAAACCTTGAGCCATTCAATGACAGCCGCCTTATCCTCCACAAGAAGAACTATAGCATCGAAGCCACCAGCACCAGGAACAACGCCTCCAATTACGCCGTCGAGCTTGGAACAGTAGTCCAATAGACGCGTCTGCTGAGGCGGCTCAATAGGCACACCAGACTTCTCGCCCATCTCGCGAATCAGCGCGCGATTACTGTCAATGATCTGTTTCAGCGCGTCGTACTTCGACTTCACATCCCCATCGCTTTGCTCATCAGTAGCCAAACGCGTAAGTTCAGCAGCCAGCGCCTCGTTCCCCTTCTGCAGATCTTTCCAAATCCTCTCCGCTTCTTCTGCTTTCTCCGCTCTCCATGCCAGCACCTTCTTCACCATGCCCGGTGTTTCGCTGCCGCAGTCGACATCGCACATGACTAGGCGTACACCCTTGGGCATCTTGATAGCAGCTTTTTGGATCTCGGTGTCCCATGTCGGGCCCTCGACTAAAGAGCGTAGTTGTGTTGCGAAGCCAGGGCTGCTGGGTTGAGGTAGATCGCTCAGAAGGGAGGGCGAGAAACGCTTGTAGAGACAGGATCCGTAGACTGCAGAGGCGATGTCGAAACCGCTTCCGACTTTGCCTTGGGCGTGGGAGTGAGAGGCTTGAGCGAGGTTGTGGAGGACCGTTTGGCCCTTTTCTGTGTGGATATCGAAAAGTTCTTCAGGTAGGTAGAATTCTAGTACTGCGGCTGTGAAACTTGTGACGAGTGCTGCGCTGCTTCCTAATCCTGTCTTGTGCGCTTCTTTTAGGCTCACGTTGAAGTCCTGGAAGCGCGAGACTTTGTGGGGTTGCGAGATGATGTTGGAGCTGCGGGTGACGCCTGGGTTGGAGTAGTAGGCTTGGTCCGCTAGGATGCGGATGCTGGAGGGCTGGATGAGGGTCTTGGGGAGGAGGGCGTGAATGTAGGTGAGTGCGTATGTTAGGGCGGTTTCTATGAATGGGTTGCGGGATCGGGCGATGGATTGTTCGTGGCCGCTGGGTTGGGGTTAGTTGGACTGGTAGACTGAGTCAAAGTGAAGCTTATGACAAGATCATGCCCATCGATGTAATAGAAAAGCTTGCAGAATAGTACAGGAGAAGGGGTAAATTTGGAGAAGCCAGAGCAAGATCAAAGCAGTAACACGATGCGACACCAACGTTCCAGAAGCGATGACACAGGCTTTAGGAATCCAGATACTATCTTGGCATTGCAGCCTCATCTCGCAACAGATCTTCAATGAACACGTGATGAACGACCATTAAGAATGCTTTGCCCGATTGGGTAGAGATGCTGATGGGCTTGGAGGGAGTGATACACAAGAAAAAGGAACGAAAGGACGACCAATGAGATGATACGATGCAAGCGACGGACGTGGCTGATGGAGGGAGGGAAAAGGCACTTACACGCTCAACTGCGTCAAGGTGATGCCTCCATCCTGGCCCTGCGACCTGTATCCGTACTCCCAAATGGCCTCGCGGAACTGAGGACTCGTCACCAGGATCTCATTGATCGTCACGCCGGATCTCGTTTTGATAGGTTCGACCACGGTGTGAATCCTTGCGTCTAAACCGAATACCAGACCTGTGTATTCCCGGTCCAGTACGAGGTAGCCACCCGCGACTAGTACCTTTGCCGGGCAAGAAACGGCCTTCGGGGTCAACGGCGCGTCCGATGATGACATGCTGAAAGTGGAGTAGCTGGGTGCGATAGGGAGCAGCAGGATCTCGATTAGTTGGATTGATAATAGGCAGCAATATTCGCGCAATGTTGGAGGGGGGCTGGAGATGGCTGTCTCGCGGGGTGTGCAGCGTAGACTAGAGACCTGACTGCAGGCGCGGTGGGTCACTGAGCTTCTGCCACGAACTCTTGCAGCTGCCGGTATACACCGTTTCTTCGAGGATGCCGAGTGCGGTTAGGAGGAATTGTCGCGATGATAATAAGTTTCGTCACGTGCACATGTACGGCGCCGCAATTCACATGCAGCAGTTCGCCTCCGATGAGCACGGCGTATGGAACCGGAACGGCGGATTTAAGCAATCAGGTGCTAGTCAAATCCTGCAGCAGGCCAGATCCATGCGGGGTGCAGGCCGTGTTCTTCTCGTCGTTCTGTCTGAGTCATCCAGAGTTCGATGGGCGTCCTGGACGGCGCGGTGCCACAATCGATCCGGCTCCGACGTTACCAGGGACGCGAGAGAGCGCGCGTCGACGATTGGGTCGGAGGCGTATACATCCCTCCCCGAGGGGACACGTCGCCGGGCTCGCGTGAGCGAACGCTAGACAAACGTGGGTTCAGCGCGACTTGCGATAATTTTTCGGCCAATTTTAGCGTCCATTGCATCGGTCCTACCTTTTCATGACGACTACGAACTATGCGCTCGAAGCTTCCTTCTGACTCCCGCTAACCAACTTGCCTTCGAGGCTGACAATATCTCTCTCCAGGCCACCGTGCGCCTTGCTTTTCCTCTGTCGCATCCCCTTCTACTTCTAATAGAATTGCGACTCCTTCCGAGCATTCGACTACACACACTTGGGGCGTTAAGGTTCACTAAACACCGGCCAATTTCCCCACAACCACACGATTCCTTACATCCGAAAGCGCGTTTGTTTGACGGCCATCGTCAAATGAACCTGCACCGACGCGTAGGGATCCCGAGAATAGTAGGTACCCTCTCCTTCAATTGCCAACAATTGCTCTCACCATCGCGACGCGCGCACGCGAGCCACAAAGTTGTTGCCTAACCCCCAAAATTGGTCGCGGGCCGATGTCCAGTCGCTCGGAGCATTTCCACCACCGGGATCACATTGGAGACCAATCGTACTGACCATCCACAGTCTCACCCTATCCATCTGGAGGGCTCCTCAAATTCCTAAATGGTGTTTAAGAGTTTCCATCTCGCGCGCCAGAGTCTTGCCAAGGGCTTTACTCACGGTTATGCTCAATCAGTAGTTGCTGGTGTAAGCCAGAACAATCCCCTCGCCTCCCTTCAACACGACCGCTTCCGCAAGGGTCTCAAGAACCAACATGCCTTCACCTCGACATCGTCTACAACGAGCGCGCTCAAGGCGCTCGCCGCCGGACAACACGATCACCAGGATTCCGGTCTAGCCGCATACTACACAGCATGGCAGAAACACCAACAGAAGACGGAGGACAAGGAGTGGTCGCAGTTCCAATTCCGCAAGCTCATCGAGTGGGACCCGGCCAGCTCCAAGGCTGCGGCTGAGGCCAAGGAGAGCAGTGTTGCAATTGAAGAGGTGGCAGAACCGGTTCCCGCGCGTGCCGGTGTCAACCGCGCATACAGCACCAGCCAAGTAGAGGACTTCAAGAAGGCTGTCGGTGGTGAAGAGGCGGAGAAGATTGCGCTGGCACAAGTGGACGAGGCAATTGCACAAGAGGTGGCACGGTACAAGGTCGATAGCGAAGTTGCCCAGGCCATTGAGGAAGAGCTTTCGCCAATAGAAGAGGCCCGTTCAGAGTCGCCCGCCACTGTTGCGGACACTCTTGTGAACTCGTCAATTCTGAGCCGCACCGAGTCCACCATCGCCACTAGCCCAATCGAAGCGCACGACGAATATACCGTACAGCTGCAGAAGCTGGCAATCAACCGCAACTATGCCGAAGTACCCGCTGTCTTCGAGGCTATGCTTCGTTCTGACGTCAAGCCATCAGCCACCGCATACAATGCCCTGCTATCTGCTGCGATCCATCTCCCCCGCGCCCAGCATCAGGTCGTTCCCAAGGCCCTGGATGTCTACTCTGATATGCTTCGCCGGCGTGTTGTGCCTGACACTGCTACGTACACCACCCTGATCGAACTCCTATCCGTCCGCTCCCTCGAAGTTGTGTCTCAGAAGCAAAGCTTCGAAGACAGGCGTCTGCGATATGGAGGTATGGAAGAGGAGGGCAGCTTCATGCTTCAGTCGCACGAGACTGACTATGCTATCCTCGCTGAGGACGGGTCGCTCTCAGTAGCCATCAAGCTTTTCGACGCTGCCGTCCACGTTGAGGCCAACCGAACATTCTCCGAAAAGACCTACCGGCTGCTCGTCACAGCCTGCGCGGAGAGCGACCGTGTAGATGACATGGTACGAATCTACTCCCATATGGAATCCCACAGTGTGACTCCGGCTGCCGAGATGTTCGTTCCAATGATCCAAGCTTTCGGCAAGTCTGGCGATCTAAAGAGTGCGGTCGAGTGCTACGACGAGTACAAAGCTCTGGCCATTTCAAACGACAACGGCGAGCTCGAGATTACTAGGAGAGACAACGACGTGTATGCCGCTCTTGTAAAGGCGTATACGGTATGTGGCCGCATTGAGGGAGCTGAGAAGTTCCTGTCCAAGATCGAGAGTGCGCTCGCCACACCAGAAGACGTCACTTCCGTCCGCGACATTGTCGGTCTCAAGGCCTTCCTTCCCGAATGGCTCAGGAATGGTTCTTTCGACCAAGCCTACGTGCACGCAACGGAGTACCTTAGCCCACAGGCGCGTCAGATCGCTATGGCCGCTATTTGCATCAAGGCTGCGGATCGCGATGCCGTAGAGATTGCTACTCAGGCTTTCGATGATCTTCCAGCTGAGGTCGACCTGTCACGGCCAGCCATGGCGATGGGTGCTATGCATATCCGCACTGGAAACATCGAAGCTGCTGAGGTTTTCTGGAGGATGCTCGAGCTTTCTCCCACCAAGGCCGACTTCATCGAGCCCACTGCCATGCACAGTATTGCATTAATTGGTAGTGGACACGCAGAACGCGGTCTTCGTCAAGGTCGTCAAATGTTTGCTCGCATACGGGACTCTCAGTCTGGCTCTAACCAAGCTAAGATGGAGACCGTAGAGCACATCGACGAGGCTATCGAGGTTATGGGTCAGTTCATGATGAAGCGTGGTATCTTCCTTCCGCCGCGGGCTAGCATGGAACTGATGTGGACGATGATTGAAAACGGCGGCCTAGTCACCCCAGTTGCTCACCACCTACTTGCTGGAATGGGACCTGAGGCCATCGTACAACTCAACTTCGACGACATCACGCTTCTAATGCAAGTTCAATCTGGAATTCTACTCCAGGAGGCCGAAGTTGACGTTGCTCACGTTGCACGGTTCGCCCATCTTCTTGAAGTCATCGCCGCAAATGGCACACCAGTCAACAAGACAACTTCCGGTCTTGTTGAACAAGTGCTCACCAAGCTCGACAGGGGTGATCTCCAGCACCGATGGTACGCCTTCAAGCATCCCGCTCCGGAGGCTTTGTACTCACCAGCACCATTCGCCGCCTACCCTGTCCAAGCCCCTATCACCCCGTCAGCTCCTACGTTCGAGGATCAATACGACCCTTACGCCGCATCTACCGACAACAAGGGCTCTGTTGCCATCACCGAACTTCTGGAAAAGACTCACGGACGATCATCGTCTCACCTCAACGAGGCTTTGATGAAGTTCAGGAACATGCGCCGAGCTGGCCGCCACCCTCGATTCTTCACCTACGCTAAGCTTATCACTGCCGCTGCCAAGGAAGACCGCCTGACCCTTGCCCATGATATCCTCAACCTCGCCAAGCAGGACGTTCCCCTCCTACCTCAGTACCGTATTGTGCGATATGGCTGGGTAACGATCCTGGACGCCATGGTCGCTGCTTGCCTTACCTGCAACCAGCGTGATCTTGCGGGAAGATATCACCAGGATCTGCTTGAGATGGGTGCTGCGCCAACAGCCAACACCTTTGGTCTCTACATCACCACGCTCAAGGAGTCGACCAAGACCTTCGATGAAGCGACTGAGGCAGTCAAGATCTTCCTCCGTGCCAAGTCTGAGGGTGTTGAGCCTTCTTCCTTCTTGTACAACGCTCTGATTGGCAAGCTTGGAAAGGCCCGACGCATCGACGACTGCCTATTCTACTTCTCTGAGATGCGCAACCTCGGCATTCGCCCTACTTCTGTCACCTACGGTACCATTGTCAACGCTCTTTGCCGTGTTAGCGACGAGAAGTTCGCTGAGGAGCTGTTCGAAGAGATGGAGAGCATGCCTAACTACAAGCCCCGCCCCGCGCCCTACCACAGTATGATGCAGTTCTTCCTGACTACCAAGCGTGATCGCAGCAAGGTTCTCAACTACTACGAGCGTATGCGTGCTAAGCGCATCGAGCCTACCACGCACACGTACAAGCTCCTCATCGACACCTACGCTACCCTTGAGCCTGTCGATATGGAGGCCGCGGAGTCGGTTCTCGAGCAAGTTCGCAGCGCCGGTGCTGTCCCTGAAGCCGTCCACTACTCATCGCTGATCCACGCCAAGGGTTGCGTCATGCACGACATGGAGGGTGCTCGTCGTCTCTTTGACACTGTCCTCGCCGACAGCCGTGTTCGTCCCCAGGCCTGCCTCTACCAGGCATTGTTCGAGGCCATGGTCGCCAACCACCAGATCGCGGATACAGAGGATGTTCTCCGTGACATGCGTGCCCGTGGCGTCGAGATGACTCCTTACATCGCCAACTCTCTCATCCACGGCTGGGCCCTTGCTCATGACATCCAGAAGGCCAAGGCTATCTACGAGTCCGTCTCCGAGAGCAGGCGCGAGCCCAGCACCTACGAGGCCATGACCCGCGCTTACATGGCCGTCGAGGACCGCGCTGCCGCTATGACAGTCGTCAACGAGGGCCTGTCTCGTGGCTACCCCGCGGCTGTCGCTGGCAAGATCCTTGAGCTGGTCGGTGGCGGTCGTGCCCCCGTGTCTGAGGTCACCGCTTAAGCTGCCAACCTCAGCATATCTTCTTCTCTTCGACTTCCCGCCTTTCGGCACTTCGATCATACACTTTTTGACTTGATCTACTGCGACGGCCGAACAAAAAGAATTTCTCAAAACAGCCCCCGCACCGCTCGGAGGGTGAAACTTCCAGTGGCGTGGCTGGGCATCAACATTCAACTTTTAAAGTCGCTTCTACGTTTTTCAGCGACGGCGTTTATATCCAGGGTCTCTTTTTCTCTAGCGAAACAACAACGATATCCCGCAACTAGCAATGGAGCTGGTGGACTGGGTGGGTCTGGCGTCTTGTCTGCATAATGACGGGTGGTTAGGCCTAGTTGGGCTGCCTTGTCTTCAAGGTTGGTTGGGATGGGGGGATATGGCAACGATCATCTTTCTCGTACTCTGCATCTCGTCATTGGCATGGTGTTTTCTCTGGGGGTCATTGCATCTGCGCGGTCGTTTCGACATGGTTTCGCTGTACAATACCCTGGATTATACCATCTCCTCTCTAGATCACGGTTGGGTTTTCGGTAGGCGGGCGGTAAAGGTGTTTAGCATCGGATGAGTAGATAGTCATGCGGGATTGATATACGATCTCGTGGAATGAATGAAAAATGTAATAAGAAACTAGGCTTTGTGTATGAGTATGATGTGAGGAGAGAGTATAATCAGTATTCGTCAGACGAAAGGCATAGGCACAGAGTCAATCCATTTGGAAGGATGTAATTCAGTTTCTAGTTGTCAGGTAGACGTCCTGGATTGGGTGTCTCATAGAGGCGTAAAGCAAGGCCTGACGCGATGATCAAGCCGTGCTTTAGGCCTCTATGAGAGACCCAATTCAAGACATCTACCTGACAACTAGAAACTGAACTTTTTGGATTTGCTGTACCCTTACAACGCTGTAACCAGAAACTCGTAGGTCATGTGTAAGGATGTCTAAGACGGCTATATTCCCTCAAACGCCGGGCTCATGTATGCTGAAATGCGCCAAACCACCGCTTGTACCAATATCAATATGAATATGAATATCGTGAATCGTAAAGGCCAGTATGTACAATAGTCCCCCCTCTTATCTTGCCCCCCCCCTCATGAGCATTAGTTGTAGTTCCTTGTCTCGGTCGCTTGGTCGGCTTCTCGAGCTAGGCGGCTCTCGTTGGCGGCTTGCTGGAGGGTTTGGTTGTTCGTCTGGCGCTTCTGGGCGTCGAGTTTCTTCTGGAGGTCGCCGGATGTGGCTTTGTTTGCGCGTGCCTGGGCAGTGTGTCAGCCATCATCGTCGCAAACAAGGTTGTAGGTACGTACCTCTGCTGCAGCAGCGGCGGCAGCCTTCGGATCATCTTCGCGGTTGCTGTCTCCTAGTGTCCGCGCTGGTCCTCCGACCTTGGGCTTCGCCGGCGCAACATTGTTCGGCACAGATGCTTTGGTTGCGGGCGCAGGCGCAGACCCGAGTGTGCGCCCTTGGCCTTCGAAGTTGTCTTTGGACTGTTTGCCGCAGAGATTACCCATCTGTAGGTTCGAATGAGGAGTTGAAGTTATGGGAAGCTGAGGCAAAGGATGTTCGGTTATGAGAGTCGTAGGCGTAGTCGTCACTGTGGCTGTGCGAAGGTAGGGTCCAAGGTGCAAGGGAGAGTTGCGGAGACATCAGCCTCGTGGCGGGGAAATGTGCATTGCGACGCGTGGGATTGGCGCCAAGTACCCGTCTCTCGGTTCCCGGCTGCGGCATCTCAGGCAGGGTGTAAACTGTGCATCCAACACTCCCGGCCTGCGTTTGCTTATCTTCTCTCATCTCTTCTTGGACGTTCTCGTTGCGTTTGTGACGGCTACGCATGACGATGATCGCAAACGTCAAGCACGCCGTAGGTGGGTACACTAGAGCGGTAGCGCAATGAGTTCTTCCGCATCCCGTGGATGGAGGACTCTCTGTCCGGTTGCACACGACGGTACCGGTGCGTGAATCGCCTCATATACGTCGGGATAGCACCCGCGGTCGATAGCGACAGTAATCTCGTCTCGAGGTTATCCAGCCTCGTGATTAGAGTCCTGTGATGCCTGGCTTCGGAGAAGGTACGATACACATGACAGTCGCGACTTCCAAGGCTGGAGCCAAGGGCCAATGAGGGCGCACGAGTTGGATATACGCTTTTACACATTCGGGTTAGGCTCCATTCACTCTTCTCAAGCGCATACCTTCATCATCTCAGCCGAACCGTATCCTTTCCCTTGTAGTAGGTATTGTGAAGTTGTCTGGGTAGACCCCAAGAGGCATGATTAGTCGTATGTTTTACACTTTCCACTTACCCCTCGTACCTTGCCCGGCACTCTGATTACGCCATCGTGCTTTCCCAATCTTGAGAACCGTGATGGCCTCCGCCATGACTTTTCGACATTGACAGACACACACTCTGAATCTCCCACCAAGGGCTCGCAAACATGGCTAATAACTGTGCAGACTGCGATCGCGATTCGGCTTTTGGAGACGAAGACGACTTCTGGACTACGGATCCAATGTTTTCCTTGGGCGCGCCGGTGGCAGGGACCAAGCGTGCTGCAGACGATCTGAAAGATGATGCCGCACGAACCCGAGACCAATCAACCCCGTCTCAGCTTGAACACGGTACTCAATCTGTTGATCCAAGCTTGTGTTGCACTCATTGCCCAGAGACGTGCGACGTGCGCCCACCTAAGCGGAGGGCTTCCGCCCTGAAAGTGACCGAGTATCACGGACTCACCACCGACTCACAACCCAGTCTCGATGCCGACTGTCCGTTCCCAGACGACTGCTTCGAGAAGTTCTGTCAAGAGTGCCATCTAGAGCCCTCTTGTCCTCCACTGCCTTGCCCTGCCGACGATTGCCCCGAAGACGACGCTTGCTTCGACCCCCGGTGTAACGAGAAAAACGACCATTGCACAGACGACTGTATAGACCCTCAGTGTACAAAGGCCGCTTGTCCAGACCAGTCTTGCTTCTGTCAGAAGTGCAACGATCAACCCTTCACCCTGCCTGACTCGCATCACGAGTGTCACTTCGCCCATTCCGCTCCTACGCCCGTCGGCACTGTGTACTGTTACGACACCGCGCCTTGTCACTTTCAAGAAGGCTTCCACGGAAACGACGATGGCCTGGGGTCATTCGAGACATATCCCTGCTTCTCCCAAACTCACGGGTACAACACCATCGCCGACGACCTGACAACAATAGCGTCGAGCGCGCCAACGCCAGCGCTGTCGCACAGCAACTATACTTCGCTAGAAAGCGCCTTTACTACCGAGCCATCGCCGGGCCCTGGCCAAACAGTCTTCCCACCACACTGTTACCTCAACGTCGCTGGTGACCACTGTCACATTGACAACTCGTGCTGCCATGGACCTCAAAGAGCGTGCGGTGACGCACCATCTGCATCACAACAACAAATGGACCTTTGGAACTCGTCGATAGCACAGGGCAACGGTCTCGCGTCCAACTTTATGAACTTTGGTTTCAACCCAAGCTTACCGACAAGCCCTGTGTCGGCGGACCGCAACTCATTACACTCGAATCCTTTCAGCCTAGACGCCCCAATGATGGGATTCAACGATCAGACATTCCACGATCAGTCGTGGATGCTGACGGATTCGGCGTTTCCTAACGAGTTGCAGCCAGGGGGCTCATTTGGTGCTGCCAATAAACTCGACTTCCTCGCCTCTGCGGTCCAAAGCGAGATCTTACGGCCTAATGGGACAACGTTCGCTGGTTCAAGTTCGGCATCTGCTGGTGGCGTAACCGACGCTCAGTCCTGTGTATGCAAGTGGTACGTCGGCCCGAATTGGTTCCCTGACCCTCCAAGTCACTTCTATTATCAGAATGCTAGACGGCACATCAAAACATAAGCTAATCAGAACCTTCAGGCAACATGCGCCCGGTGTCCTCTGCCTCGCTGTCTTTGACAGCCCCGAAACCCTCCACAAACACATCAAGACCGGACACGTTGACAACTGCACACACTGCTTCTGCCAGTGGGAAGGCTGTGAAGCACACTCCAAAGATTTCAAGCAACGCTCTAAGTTGTCTCGTCATCTTCTCGGCCACGCAGGCTACCGCCCATACGCTTGTAGCTATGAGGGCTGTGACAAGACGTTTGCAACCAACCAAGCCAAAGACAATCACGAGCGGACACACACAGGCGAGAGACCGTATGTATGTGACCGCTGTGGCTACACAACAACAACGCATACACAGTTGCAAACCCACATCAGTGCGCTGCACGAGGGCAAGAAGCCGCACAAATGTCGGTTCTGCGAGTTTACATGTGCTGACTCGAGTAACCTGAGCAAGCACGAGAGGACACATCAGGTAGGCCTCGATGGACTCGTCATACAATACTACGTCTTACTAACGATGCTCGCAGACTCTCCGACCGTACAGATGTCCACACCCCAACTGCACCTTCAAGCCCGACTGCCGCTGGGAGAACCTGAAGCGACACCTGCGCCGTTCAGGCCACTGCCCACAACTGCTAGTGGAAGCGAGCGAAGAATACAAGTCGTACCGCGAAGGCGTTCGACGCGAGATAGACGACTGGCACAAGCGAAACGAAGATGGAGGCCTAGGAAAGGCCGGTAGGAGGAAGGGAAGATCGTAGGTGATACCATTTGATGGAGAGATTATACCGGGGGTGAACTGTGGCGGCGATTGTGCCTTTGGGCGACCGTGCTTTTACTATACAATGACGCGATGAATTTACGGACTAGCGATGAACACTCCCTTTGGGGTACTATGATGGGCTACTGAATTATGCCCTTTTGGGTCTCAGGACGAGACTGGATTAGAACGATATGATACCTGAAATATGAACGATCATTTATCAATCATCGTTGCTTTGCTGTGCTCTTCGGGGTCTGAGTGTTCGTAGATGGGACAGAGAGTGCTTACACCCCTCGCGATATCAACACCACAGCTTCGTCTTCTAGAACGCCGCTCCAGTACTCTGTGCAAGCGTGAGCGTAATAACCCGACACCGAATCGATCCAGTCCCATCTTGGCTTATCACGTAAGGCATCTCAACCAGACTCTAGCCCCCAACCAGATCTCACCCCCATGCGATACTGATTCCTCTTATTATGCCTTCGGCAGTCACGTAAGCAAGGGATCAAACACGTGTATCTGTGGCTTGTGCGTTTGTCTTCGGAGATTTGCATTCGAGAAACGTGTTGGACGGGGGGGTTGAACCGGGGAGGCGGGTTCGGTTGTTGGGGGGTCGGAGCAAAGGGTTTCATGCTTATGCTATAGGTGTATGCTTGGCTATAAGTGACAACGGTGCGTGTTTCGAGATGGCGTAAGATTTGGGAAAGTGCCGATAGCCAGGGTTTTGGGAAAGGAAGGGATGTGGGAAAGGGGAAAGTGATGGACGAGGGCTGGTGGATGAGGGTTTGAGAGATCATGGTTGTACTTCGGTGCTGACGTCCTAGAAACGAGGTCGTTGGGTCAACCGGACTGGGCAAAGTGACGATCTTACTAGGAGTTTGCACAGCACAAAGCATTCACTACCCGAAAAGATAACATGTCGAATATTCCGGTATTTCCCATTGCCAGACCTAGCTATCCAAAACGCAAGCAACCACCATCTTCTCTCTCCTCAGCATCCAAAACAGCAAAAGCCACCATCCACTAAACAACCACAAACCACACCCTCTCTCTCCTACCCCCAACAGGCGGGATATCGTAGAAATGATAATCAAGATAAAGCATTAACCCTTTGTCCTCGAGAGTAGGCTCCGGAAGCAAGAGTCATATATACAATATCGCTTCCAGCGCTCTCAACTCACTCACTCACTCTCCACAGAAACAATCAACAGCAAGAAAGGAAAGGTTGCGCCGCATGGGATATGCGGCGGGGTATAGAACAAACGTCAATCAGCCGGGTGGGTAGGTAGGTAGGTCAGGGTTGTATGTACCGGAGTAGATGTGTGTTTGGCGTGATTTACTGGAGGAACGTCGAAGAAGGTGTATTTTTTGTTGCGCAAAGCAAAGGCTTGCGCGACAGGGGACGGTTAAGGAGCGTATTAGACACTAGACCCGAAGGCAGTCTATGGTTCGCGCTGATCGTGACAAAGCAGAAGTGTAAGTGGTCCAGCGGCCGTGGCGTGTTCGAGGGTCTCAAAGGACCCCTGGAGGGGTAGAACGACGGCCGATGATCGGGGGTGTGGTGGTGGACCAAGAATCGAAGGTATCGCAAAACGGGAAGAGCAACGCGTAAATCAAACATCATCGTGGCGACATTACTATTTGGAGACAGGGTCGGAGCCGATAAGTGTACTAGACCCCAGGGAGTGGACGTCTGGTGTGCTCGAGAGTAGTGGCCGTGTTAGCGAATTGGGTGGTGCTGCGGATGCGACTCGACTTTTGCCCTTTCCATACCGCGCGGAACGTGGTGGGCGTTCTGAGGTTGGAGATGACAAGGGAGCAACTAGGGAGCGTTAACAGACCCAGGCACGGAAGGACATCTTAGGGGCTTGGAGGTATCCGGTCACCTCCGCTCCCATGCCCGCCAGAGTCTGTGCTGTCGCCTTCAATCGTCTTCCTCCAGTGTTGTGGCAAGCACACGCAGACCAAGGGGAAAGCCTTGATCTCGCTGTCGGATTCGACGGGTGATCGTCGGCCGCCGTTGCTTACGCCGGAGTCGCGTTGCTCGGCTTTCCGGGCTTCCCACTGCTCTGCCGATTCGGAAAGTCTTACACCTGTCGCCCAGCCGTCATCCCAGATACCGACGACCTTGAGCATATCTCCTCTTTCTAGCTCGAACTCGTCGCCGGCACGAGGTTGGTAGGCCCAGAGAGTGGCAACAGTGTCGTTCGGGTGGATATCGTCCTGGGAATAGTAGTCTTTGAAGAACTGTAGCTGCTCGGACTGGCCGGAAGCGACACCATCCGGACTGGAAAAGTTACGCGTCTGGTCAGATCCAGAGAGTGGTGAAGAGCTCGCTCCGAGAGCAGAATGGCTGGATAGAGAACCTTGTCGTTTGGGGAGGTTACCGGCGAGATGGCCACGTATCGACTCGGGTGAATCATAGGCACCGAGTTGTGAGCCACCGTATGCGGTCATACGGCCGCCTCGATCGCTGTTCTGACCCGAGGACTCTGATCCTTCCAAAGCCGACATACGCTGAACACGCGCACCGGGGAGAATAGTAGCGGGAGATTGGCCGTCGCCACCGTAGCTCATAGGTGGCATGGGTCCCTTGGGAGAGTGGCGTCGCGATGGCGATGGCGTGTTGAAGACGCTTCCAGCCTGGCTATTCTTCTTGTGCCGCATGCGCATGCAGCAGAAGATGGCGGCTGCGATGATTACCGCAGCGCCGACAAGTGATCCAATAACGATACCAGCGATAGCGCCACCAGAAAGACCAGAATCACCTCCACCAGATCCGGCGCCGGCTGTGGAGCTTGGGGAAGAGGACGAAGTGCTTGAGGGGAACACTGGAGGCATCGAGACGGTTGTAGGCAGGTCAATGCCTACGCAGCGCGATTCGACGTTTGCGTTGACGCAGCAAGAGTCCGTAGAGTTGACGGTGCTAGTGGAACAGAAGAGGCAGAGTCCTTGTAGGTTGCCATTGTATCCACATTCGCTGGGCTCGTTTTCGGTCGCGTCGATACAGCTGCTGCTGAGAGAGTTGGCAGGGTTGGAGCAGCGAGCGAAATCAGAGCGGATTTCCGGGACTGCATTGTTACCAGGCGTACCGCACAGATCCGGGCTTGATACGATGACCTGTTCGCTGATGGCAAAATCGGCCTGAGATGGTCAGCATTTCGACGCGGTATGGGACGACAAAGACGGTCTACATACGCAGGCACCAGCACAAAGTGGAGTCGCTTCCGTGTCGCCGAGTCCGCAGCTGTTCCTGGAGGATTGGATGATGGCGTTACAAAGGACAGTCGTTGTGTAACGAGCATAGAGGTTGGTGGTGCTAGTAAGGTTGACGCTTGAGCATCCCAATATATTCTCGTACCTGGGATGCGTTAGTTTTTCTGGTGCATATGAACAGTCGCGTGGTACGACTTGAACTAGACTGACTGTCGCTGTGCATATCCGGTACCGATGTAATTCTTCAAGCCCTCATCGAACGACCGAGTGTCTGACACGTATTGAAGAAATGGACTATGCGCGTTCACTGTTAGCCAACACTCTGTCTATCAAAACACATTTGACGTACAAGTTCGCGGTCAAATTGGTGTCGACAGAGGCGGAGGAAAAGGCCGGGCAGGCGGTTGAGCCCTGAAGCGACACGCAACTCCGTTGAGCCATTGCGGACGGTATCGATGCGGCGACGACAGCGAAGACAGCAGCCCTTTTTATTCCAGAGCGGGATTGCTTTTGGGAACAGGAGGTAGTAGTTGGGCGACGATAAGGTTCGGAGAGAATCATAGCGCCAACATGGTCGCAGCACTGGCACGGGCGCATGCTGAGTATATCTGTACGCGTAGAAGCTGTATGGCTTGTCGATAGATCCAATCCTAGGAAGTGGCCGTGGTGGAGTGTAGTAATCGACGATGGCGGGCCAGTAGGAGACGCGCAGCTTCACGAGTCCATTCGCGACATGTAGATAGGCCTCGGGGATGGGGTATATCTATGTAGGTGTCGAGATGGCGATGCAAGAGTATTAGAAAATAGAGACCGTATCGGTGGGGTGCCGGTCTAAGAAGGGAAGGAGAGGGCCTGGCTCGCAGTGGCAGAAAGAGCGTACTGGGTAGGGAAGCTGCGATGGGCCTCTACAGTGGAGAGAGGAAGGCACGCTTGAGCCTTGGGGGATGGTCAACACGCACGAACAACGAGGCTACCGCGTCGGCTAGCTCCTGCTTCGGCGTCAGGGATCAGGGGTCCGGTCGTTCTTTCTGTGCGCGGTGATTGGGCTGACCCTGCCGAGGGGAAATGAGATGTACCTGGCCTAAAATTATCCTCCGATGCTTTTCGTCTCAGGTGCCTGGCGACGGATTGCGACTCCAGCTGGTCGAGTGATTAGGTATAAGACGGTTGTTTATACGACCTCGACAACGACCCACCGCATGCCCACCGTGTGCAACCTCTCTCGACGGCAGCCCGCAGCGCTCCACGCTGACCCGCAGTCATCTGCAGCACAATGCAGCAAGACGCATGCGGCATAGCGTCTGCCTGCACACACTAACAGTTGAACCGACCTGCTGGATTAGTCCGCTGTTTCAATATACAAATACTACTGTCCACCGCGCAACCGGTCCGCTGCGGATGGCATTGTCGTGTTGCAGCGCATAATGTCGAGCCTGTGCCTGAGACCGTCCGCCCTCAGCACAACCACGTCGCTTCGTCTCACGACGCTCCCCGCAATTGTGGACGCCTATGCGACGTGGCCATGCGCTGTTCGAACGGCGCATGGGGCTTGCGGAGCCTCCAGCCTCGTCGTTAGCGGCGTCCATCGTTCTGTTTACTGTGCGTGCTGCGTAGCTTTCTGCAGCGCCCGTTGACCCTCGGCCCTTTCCTACTGCAGACTAGCTAACGGCCCGCTCCCTCAACCAGAACCATTGTTTACTCTGAGCCTGCGACGATCCGCCCTGATCTGCATCACCAGCCATATCCACCACATCTACGGTGGATTCGAGTTCCCTAGCATGTGTTGCGTCACTATCACACCTAGTACGCCGCAGAGGACCACTACCGATGACTGACGTCTGTGTCACGATGCACTCACGCCGCATCACCATTACATGCACTACCTGTCCAACTCTGGTCCCCAGCCTTCTTTGACTCCAGAGTCGAAGATCAATCTGGCTCGTTATTGGGATCATCTCTCAAAACTCTCTGTGATCTACGCCATCAAGATCCAAGCGTCCGGCCATCCTCTCCACCGTCAATCAGCCACGTCCCAAGACTTTCCCCAGCATTCAGAGCACCAGTCACCATGGACTCCTTGTCCTCAGTCACTATGCAAGCTTTTGCGGCGTCATCACGTCCACAGTTCTCAGGCACGGAGCATCTGACACTGCTTGTTTTAACTTTGCGTCTTGCGGGGATGTGGTCAATGCGACTCAGGCAAACCTGACTTCCGGATTGAAGTCTATCTTGGACTACTATACTCGTTGCTCAAGACGTCGCTAATCGTTTTTAGTCTTGTGCAACATCAACACCTTCCTAGGTATAGAACGCCTATCCATGTCGGAAAAGAATATCGCCGTGAACTCTCGCTAAGATATACTAACTTACGCAAGCACCCAAGCCGCCTAGAACTGGTTCGATTGATCACCAAAGTCAATGCAGCTCTGCTTGAGCGTCTCTTTGATCATCCACGCAGTCCACGGCTCTTCAACGGGCACTAAAACTTTACCTACGGTGGCTCCCTTCTGACCTGCCTTACGCGCCGAGGTGAATAGGGCATGCCTGTTTACCTGAACTTGGATTTTATAGCACTTGGGCGGACCAGTCGTTAACTATGTATTATGATCAGTATGGGTGGACGAAGACGATAGTGCAAAAAAACATTACTTACATTCTGCATGTCCAGTCTGTAGTTGTCGTCCTCGTAGAGGGTCTTCTGGATAGATGGCAAACCGCCCTCGAGCTTATGGTCCGGGATGCCGTCGATGAAGGCGAGGAGAGCTTTGCGGAACTTCTTACCCATACTGATGCTTACTTATAGGATGGACTGTATGGGCCTATGGTTGTAATCCTTTGAGTTGGCGGTGGAATGTGTGCTCGATGAGGTGTGTCCGCTCCATGGCTGTTGGTCTTGATATCTGTCTGGCAGTGTGAAGGTACATGGGACACTCTAGTCGCGCTGACATTGTCATCAGTGCAGCGTGAAGCTATTCAACACCACCGTGTGCGTTCACTTTTGATGCCCTAATCAGCTTATCACTGACTCGCCGTGCGCAAACAGGGCAGGTGAAAGCGACGAGCACTTTCTTTGTTTGCTTGTTACTACGCCTCCTCACTTTTACCCTCTTAACATCAACACCATACCACGGTCACCAAACTCACATCCCATTATCATGGATTCAGCGCCAACTGTACCTCGCAATATTGAACAACCAGGCCTATACTGGAAGCCAGGTCTCTTCGGCGCGAGACCAACATGGACTAAAGAGCCATCCATTGACAAGGCCACAGAGCTGGCGCGAAAACATTTAGACTTGCCACAAGATGAGCTTATTGAGCTGAAGCCCTTCGCCGAAGGCGCCTTCAATAAACTATACGAGATTGCCTGCTCCAAAGGTCAATTCGTCTTTCGTGTCACGCTACCTGTAGCACCAAAAGTCAAGACCAGTAGCGAGGTCGCTACTTTAGGCTTCCTCGGCCAGAAGACCAACATTCCAGTCCCTGAGATTGCTGCACACAGCGAGAATCTTGAAGATGTCCTGGGCTTTGAATGGATACTTATGGAGCGTATGCCAGGCCGTCCACTCCGAGAAGTATGGCATGAGATGTCCTGGCTTCATAAAGAGCTTCTGGTCCAACAAATAGTAAAATTCATGGTCCAGCTATACCATTTGAAGCTCTCTGGTATAGGCAGTCTTTACTTCAATCGGTCGCCTACCATCAGCGGACGCAGCACACACTATACAGTCGGAGAGGCAGTCACACAAGCTTTCTTCGTAGACGATCACATCCAGCAGCCCATCTACCGCGGCCGGTTCGCAAGCAGCCAAAGCTTCGTGGACGCTCACATGGCCTTCCTGCAGCACGACATCACCAAGCTTCAACATGCAGAAGACTCCGATAGCTACGACTCTGACGACGAAGAACAAGCCGAAGGCATGTCAGAGATCTACACCAAACTCGAAAAGGTGATTCCAAAGGTTTTCACAACACCAGCGGAGGAGCACAAACATGAAGAGTCGATACTATTCAACGGCGACATATCCCTGAATAACATCCTCGTCTCCTCTTCCGGCAGTCTAGTCGGCATTGTAGACTGGGAATGCACAACCACAGTACCGCCTTGGTACGCCTGTCAAATCCCCCAGTTCCTCGACGGTCTCCTACCCACATCCACAACATCCCAGCCCCAACCACCTCTACCCCTCACCCCCGAAGCACTCGCCGACAAAGACGCCGTACAGTTCCACAACGAACAGCTTCAATGCTACGAGCTCACCTGTCTACGCACCTTCTTCGTTGAAGAGATGCGTAGACAGTGTCCGGAGTGGTTGGTGCACAGGAAGGATGGGGCAAAGAAGAGGGATGTGTTGATTGCGATTGAAGAGTGTGGGGATGATAGCCAGTGGACGTTGATTAATGGGTGGTTGGATGCGGTGTTGGACGGGAGAGAGCCGAAGAAGGGGTTGTTGGAGGCGATGTGGACGCCTGTTGGCGAGTAGGTTGGAGTATTGGAGCTGAACAGGCCTTACGGCTGCAAATGCGAAGTATGGTACTGCCCTTCCGAGGAGAAATATGCAGGCGGCATTAGTACTTCTAATTCTGCCCAAGCCTTTGTCGTATGTCTATAATGTCTTTCGTATCTTTAGTTTTGTAAGCTCTATATTGTCACGCAACAAAATATGACTGGGTATCATTGAACTCGCTCGTCCACCTCGTCTCTACGCATCTTCTCCTTGTCCAAGTATATCTTCCAAGATCCATCAACCCATATCCCAACCAAAACACTCTCTCAAAAGAACTTGACACCCTCGCCTTCACCCCCCGACCCAAAGACCTGCGCCCTCCCCCTCTTAACACAAACCCCCAAACTCCTCTGCAACAACTCCAAATCCATGCCAAAGAACTCCTCCCGCCGACTCGCATCCCCCTCGACAATCTCATACAGCGTAAGCACCGTACCCTTCTGCCCCGTCCTCTCAACCCACTCCTCCAACGCCGCAGCCCACTCCTCCGGCCTGCGCCAATATATCCACGCCTTGCCACCCTCGCTCTCTTCCCCCGCCTTCGCCTTCTTGGAAGAACTCGTGTTGATGAATTCAGCGCGGTTGCCGCCTTCGGGGGAGGCCATGTAGGTTATGATGGCTTTTGCGTCGCGCAGGGAGAGGCTGCGTCGCAGCGTGGTGTTGGTGAAGAGCGGGGTGGGTAGCGCGTCGATGAGGGAGAGGGTGAAGATGCGGTTGTGGCGGCAGTAGGATTGGATGAGCGTGGACCAGGAGGCTAGTTGGGAGGAGCGTGTGCTGGCGACGGGTTGGAGGGTGAAGAAGGGCGGGAAGGAGTAGTGTGGTGGGAAGACGAAGTTGGGGGACGTGAGCGTTGGGGCTGTTGAGGGTGTGGGCGTGGGTGTTGAGGCGGGGGCGGGGGATATCGCTGCCATCTTTTGTGTGGGTTGGTAGATAGTTGCAAGGGAAAGTGGAAGGAGTGAGCCTGTGTAACGGTTGCGCGTGTAGAGGGTTGATCGTTTGGTGCGCGCGTCGCTGGAGGTCTGCGGGGGCTTTGCGACGTCATTGGTTGCTTGGCTTGGGCACCTTTCATCTGCATCATGGGCACAACTGCACAAAGCAGAACCCAATGCACGGCTACTTCGGATCTACCTTTCCAACATTCAATGCTCATCCCATCGATTCGCTATGGTTGGTGAATAGGTCAACGTTTCGCGACTTGCCCATTCGATCCCGTCTTACATCGATCGCGTCTTGTCGAAGAGAAGTATGGTTCACAGACGAGTGTGCATCACGTTGCTTATTTCGACTCGCCATGCTAACTTACTCATATTCCATCCTACTGACTGATATTGTTCTATTCTAGAAACTCTGATGTCACCTACAGAGGTGATCGCGCTTACGAAAGCCATCCCCAGCCACAATCAGATCAGGAGCTCATCAAGAACGAGCATTTTGGTATCGCATTTTTCTCATAGAGCATTACCGAAACAGTCGTTGCAGATGAGGGAAAGCTCTCCAGAAAACTTCCGTGTGTCTGCCTCGGTGTGCTGCAGCTGATCACTGAAAGCTTTCACGAACTGGCCGACAGTGACATCTTTCCCATTCTCGCCGGTGAGCTCGTACTTGCGGCCTGTGTTCCTGTAAGCCCTATATTTGAACAAAACGTCGATTCTCTGAAGACCTGGCTCAAACAAGAGCTGGTCTATCCAATCACCGTCGTTAGCCCCGGAGTTATCCTTGCTGTCTTCCAGCAGAGCTCGCAGGTGTTGGAAAGATTCAAATTCGAACCAAGGTCGTGGTTTGCCAGCGTTTCGTAGACTTACTTGGTCGAATAAGCGTTCGTCGACGTGGTGCATGCACCGCTCCATATTTTCAATAATTCCATGGAACTCAGTGCCACGAGGAATCTCGACGAGATGGAAGGGGTTTGTTTCCATTTCGTTGAAGTCAACTTCTAGGACTATCACAGTCCGGGGGAAAGAGTCGGGGAGGCTTTGGACTCTGATCTCCGTTCTGAGATTCACTTTGATTGTGGCAATATCGCTGTCATCATCATCGCTGTCGGTACTCGCGTCGTCCATGTTGTCGTTCTTCTTCTCGTTCTCGTTGCCATCGTTGTCGTCATCTGAATCAGCTTCATTCTGGAGTATCTTGGGAGGGGCGTCTGAGACTGCGCTCCCAGTCGGTATGCCTGTATTGGTCTTCTCGGTGTTGTCTTTTGTACTGCCCTGCATGTTGTGTGGTATCTCCGGCGGTGTAGTCACTTGTGATAATGGATCGAGATTGATGATAGGAGGGATAGCGACACTCGGGTGCTAGACTTTATACTGCGCCGGGGGTCACGTTCATCGAGTGGCATGTGTGTGAGACAATTACACATGGCCACCAAGATACATTGCTAATGTCTTCGTGGTTTGACCTAGTTCCAGTGTCACAGAATCAGGTGGATCAAGACAGTTTCACGCACCAGCTCAGATAGTGAAGCAACTGTACCAGAGGTCTCCTCATTTCCTAGACTCGTTCTATCTTCTGACGTCCCAAATCATGCTATCCTGTTCAAACTCAATCCTCATGATTCTTCTCCCAGCATTCACTGCAGTAGGTCAACATCTCCTGCGGAAATCCGCGTACGTCCTCTTCGATATGTTCCAACTGATCGCGGAAAGCCCTCACAAACTGACCCATAGTAACTCCGCATCCGCTCTCTCCAAGAAGCGTATAGTTGCGACGAGATTCATAATACGTATAGTCGAAGACCACGTTGATGCGCCGCTGAGCTGGCACACACAACAGCATGTCTTTCCATGAGCCCTCGTTTCTGCGCGACTGTCTTCGCATCTTTTCTAACACGTTATCCAGAGAATCAAATGAATCGACACTGAAGTGTGGATATGGCTCTCCTTCGGTTGTCAGAAACACCTCATCGACGAGCGGCAACCGACGGTCCAGATCTAGAAGAATCGGATGGAATGTCGTGCCGGAGGGAAAATTGGATAGGCGATCAAACTTTCCATCCTCTTCTCCTAAAGTCAGGAGCATCCCCCTCGTCGCGCGACGGAATCCGATGCACCCCGTGATTGACCTCTGGTTCTAAAACAATAGTCAGCTGTTACCTGAGTTCAAAGACTTCGGTGGCGTCTTGCCGGCGTGGAAACAATGTAGATGTGGCGGAAGCTCAGAGTACTGTCATGGATACCATTATTCGTGAAGCTCAAACATGTACAAGTTGTAGTCCAAAACACTCCGACATTGTGTACAAAGCCGATAAATCCCAAAGCCAGTCCCACACTTTTGAAGA